TCCAGGAGCACCTCAACAGTGTGACTGAAGCAGCAGCGTGCTTGCTTGTGCGTGCATCTTTGCACAAATTGCTTCTTTTCCCGGTAGGCTTTCGGCTTATTTCCTTGTCATTTTTTTTTCTTTTTCTTTTCTTTTCCTTTTTTTTACACACAGGCTTGACAACTGTATAATCATAGAAGACTATAAACACCTTCAGATTTTTCTTTTTTTCCTATAAAGTAAAACCTCCCCGCTTTTGGCAAACTGCTCCAGTCTTCATCAACGCCGATGCCTGTTCTATTAGGGCAGGGGAGGAAGGCTGTGGATGCCTTGAACTTCCATTCTATCCTCCAAACATTATCAACGAAGAGAAAAATGATGAAATCCGGGCATGCAAATCTGGCAGGGATGCCTTCAACATTAACTTACAAAGCAGAGGGAACAGCAAGAGCGATGCTCACGACTCTGGCGTCTTAGTAGCGACAAAAATTTATATAACACTTTAAACACGCACAAGGTTTTAATTTTTCAAAGTACTTGAGTAGCCATTCTTTCAAGGGACTTAAACACTTACTAAGTCATGAGTAACTGAGGAAACGGAGCCCTGTGAACCAGTGGCTTGCCTGTTACCATGTTGCCAAGTCTATTTTGACCTCCCTACATCACCCTTGGCCCACATAGCAATCTATGGCTGTGTGATGTCCAGTACAGACCCTAAGCAGAATATGAATATGGCATAGCCCAAATAATACACTTATTTTTTTAATTAATTGTGTGATCTGTGAGCATGATGTGACGTGTGTGTGAGAGAGAGAGACCCGAACTCAGGTCCTCATGGTTATTTTTTTATTATTATTTTTTTGAGACAGGGTTTCTCAGTGTAGCCTTGGCTGTTCTGGACTCACTTTGTAGACCAGACTGCCCTCCAACTCACAGAGATCTACCTGCCTCTGCTTCTCTAAGTGCTGGAATCAAAGGTATGTGCCACCACACCTGGATTAGTCAAGTGTTCTTAAACACTGAGCAATCTCTCCAGCCCTGGGATCTAGAGAAGATTTTAAAACCATGTCATATTTATTTTTACAGGTCTTCTTCCAGAAGTAGAGTTGACTATTTAGTAGGTAAGACCATTGTCAGAGGGAAAAGGCAGGAAAACATGGGTCGGGGTATGGAGAGAAAGGAACACAGGGGCTATGGTGGTTAGTTTTAATTGTCAACTGGATACAATCTAGACCCTCCTGAGACAAGGACCTCTAACATTGTGTGCGAGGTACCAGTTGGTGGTGGCACATGCCTTTAATCCCAACACTCAGGAGGCAGAGTTGGTTAGATCTCTGAGTTCAAGGCCAGCCTGGTCTACAAATCAAGTTCTGGCACAGCCAGGGCTATACAGAGAAACCTTGTCTTGGGGGTGGGGGAGGAACCGTGAGGGAGATTATCTTGATTATCTTAACTGTGTGAGCACCCACCCACTTAGGGTGGCACGTCCCCCTGGACTTGGGGACCAGAGCTCTGTAAGTGGCACCCGTGTGCATGTATTCAGAGCTCTCTTCTGACTTGTGGCTCCCTTCTTCTTGCAGCAGCAGCTTCGAGCTCCCGATGCGCTGGCTTTCCTGTCGTGATGAGCTGCAACCTTCACTGTGAGGCAGACAGAAGTCCTTTCTCCCTCAAGTTGTTTTGGTCGGGGTATTTTACCACAGCAGCAAAGAAACTAAGACAGAGGGAAAGTCTTTTCTTGCTGTGTTCTCTCTCTCTCTCTCTCTCTCTCAACATGTCATGTTGGTTCTTATGAATTTTACCATTTATCTTTCAAAAAATTTTTGGTGCCAGTTTTCATGCAAACATAAGAGCATTTACCTCCCAAGTGGAATTTCCTCTGTGCTGTGCAGCTGTGCATAGCTTTCATTGGCTCTCACTCGAACACAAGTGCTATGTTCAACCAGCAGCATCTCTCAGTAACATTCATTGGCTCCAGCCTCTTAAGAATAAAGCTCACCGAAAAGACAGCACTTAGCCTCACCCAGGCAACTTCCTCCTCTATAGTGTTCTTGGTATAAACAGTTGGCCCATGAGTAAGAAAGGACATCACGGGGTCCTTTGGTGTTTTTTAGAGCCCTACTGCCATCTAATCTGGAATCTGCAGTCTAGTTTGAATGGAAAGCATGGCCTCTCGAGACCATCCGTGCACCACTTACTCAAACGAGGCCATAAAACACTCTTGTGTATCTCAGACCCCGTGTGTATGTCATCCTCCTGGGGCACAGAGGATGCTCTGTCTACAAGGATGAGGCAGCAAGCAATGGCAGTTGTTCTGGTATCTCCTGTTCCACTGTCTTATTAGACTTTATTCATAAACCAGCGGCAACATCAAGAATATCAAGATTGTCCTATCAGAGTAGTGATATAAATATGGGTCCTTCTGAGCATGTAGCCTATCAGGGGGAACCTCATGTCACATGTCACTTAGCATTGACCCTTACAGGCCCAGAAACTTTACAGCTGTAGACATGATGTCTCAGGGAAACTCCAGGGTGGATCCCTTCCTTAGCATACCCTGGATCCCAGATCCCACAAGGCTCACTAAAGCATCACCTCCACACAGAAGGTAGAGCCTCCTGACCTTCCCTAGTAGCTGAGTGACACCGGGTAGGAGGGGGTGCAAGGTTGGAAATCAGCAGAGGACAGCTGGAGGCCGGAAGAAGGCAAGTCTTATCAAGGAAATGCCAAGATGACAAGTGAAAGGGGGAAATCCAGAATGCTACCGTAGCCTTGTGGTGTTCTCCTTTTTCTGCAAAATCATCTGTGAGAGAGGCCTATCATGGAAGATCCTTTGACACATACGCACACTCCAGAGCCCAGACCATCTGTGATGCTACGGGAACAGTCAAGTCCCAGCTCCCCTTCCTTCTTGGTGTACCCTCAGCAGATCCCCCAGCCTCTGGGAGCCTCACTTTTCTCACCTATAAAATGGAAATCATGATTCCTCATGGAGAAGGTGGAGTCCCTTTGAGATTAAAAGTGAACGATGTCTGCTGGCGTGGTCAGCTAGAGGCCATTGTCGCATGCACGCATGCTCCCGTTGGTGTCCTGGGTACACCCAGGCTCTCTCACCCACAGACACCATCAGGAAATTTCAGTCTGGGCAGAGTGATTTACAAAGCCTGCTCAGAAGTGGAGTCAATTAAGGTCAGCTTTCTATGTTGCTAAACAACAGGGGATTCCGGGTTCAGCGACGTTGAAAGGCAGGCCCAACATATCCCTTGAAACCGGGCCTTTGAGAGGGTTCAAAGGACCGGGAAACAAAAGCCCCTCTTTGTGATGTTTTCACTCTTCCTTCATTGTCCTCTTTCACCCTCCGAGGGCCTTCCTGTAAAGAAAGGGGCTGCTAATGTGCCGAGTGGGAGTTTAAGATTGTCTAGGGCCAACAATGTTGGCACATTCGGGCAGCCCTCATTACAGAACCATCTGAAATGCTTGAGGAGTATTTCCCACTCATTAGCATAAATAGCAGAAAAACTCTTTCACAAACAAAGCAGGTTCCATCTGCCCCCAGTATGTTCTCACCTTGACTTCAAATGGCCAGTCCCTCCCCCAGCACAATACCCGGGGCACCGGCCTCCGAGGCCCCAAGCACCCCACTTCAGAACGGCATTCAGCGCAATATCAACACGGTAACCTGCATGTTTATTCATTGGCCGGCCCCCGCCTTTTAATGGAGTCCCTTCTCCATTGTGACCACTTGATTCTTTTACAGACCTGAAAGGGCCAGGGAGGGAGAGGCTTGCTCTCCAAGCCCTGGGGATCGTGAGCAACCCACACCTTGCAGAGTGGGTCGCCCAGGCTAATTAGGTTTGTTCTGCCTTTTTGGCCCAAGCATATTTTGTCAGGTATTGGGCTATGGGATTAAAGAGTCATTAATCACCCAAGCCTGACGCTGACAAGGTGGCTTGTTACAACCAAGTCCATCTCCCTGGTGTTGGCTGGAGCCGAGGCCAGATCTGTTTTGCATTACACTGCACGAGACTGTACTGCGGGCTAGTCTCCTGCTCTGCCTCAGAGCTCGGCAACCTGAACCTCAGACCCCAAGGAAGCTGGTCCCAGGAGCAAGCGAGTAGAGGCTGGCTCAGAGCAGCAGGTGGGGAGGGGGTATTCTGGGAGGGCGCTTCACAGGACAATATTGTGCAAAGTAAAAAGGGGTGGTGGGATAAAGGCATTTCCCAGGCCAAGAGAAGAAACTCGTCTAGGAATACACAGCAAAGTCACTGTGGGAGTCAGGATGAGAAGTCCTGGCGACCTCTGTACTATTGCATTAAATCCAAAGCTAAATTTCTTTTCCTCGGGTCCTGGAAGCTGGACCAAGGGCCTTTGCATGTTAGGCAAGTGCTCTAGCTCTGAGCCACAGCCAAACTCTCTTTCTGTAACAACATCGATTTTCTGTGATTGTTTTGAACATAGTGCTTGCTGCTGCATTTGGCAATGCAGAGTGTCCTCGGACAAGAGCGAAGTCCTTCCTGTCAGTAAGTACTCCAAAAGACAGGCTTTGTGCTGGGGATTTTGCATACATGATTTAATCTAAATGCCATCTTGAAAGGAGAGCATGCAGAGGTGCTCAGCACGACCGGGTTCTCATTTCATATGATGGTTTTCCTGAGTAGGTGTGACCATTCCTTTCTTACCCAGAAAGGATATACGGTCATTCAGGGTTTCTGTCTCTTCCCATTGAATTTCACCGTGATTTATGCAAATCTCCCTTTTGCCTTTTGGGTTTCTGCTGGTGTGTTCTTGCCTCCCTTAGCTTATTCATTACTGTGGCAAGCATTTATGGAGTGGCTAGTGAAGCACCCTCCCAGAATACCCCTTCTCCACCCGCTGCTCTGAGCCAACCTCTACTCGCTTGCTCCTGGCACCAGCTTCCTTGGGGTCTGATGTTCAGGTTGCCGTGCTCTGGGAGTGGTGAGATTAAAAAAAGCTCACCTCCTGCTCCCTTTCTTCTGAAGTTGCTGGAGGTGAGCTTCTTGCCAATGAGAAAAAATGAACCAAGAAAGAGGAGGACACCAGCTGAAGAGGACAGCAGATCAAGCCCCGAAAGTTGCAGAGGTCCTAGACTCCTCCACCCACATCCTCCAGTGCAGCTTCACAACGAGCTCAGGAGTAACCAGGGTGGGGGCCAGCTCAGGCCTCTGCCCAGAGGTAAATGAAGTCCGTAGAAAAGCTGATCACCGAAACCACCTCGGAAGGAATTTAGAACTCTGGCAGAGTTTGAACTTTTAATTATCGCTTAATGCAAAGGAAATGAACCAAAGGGGGTGGGGAGGGCAGGAGAGAAAAAGTAATCACGGTTCTGGGGCAAGGATTCATTATAAACGTAATTTGTATTTTCATAATGTAAACAGGGAGTGTTGGGTAAACTACATTAGCATGAAACAAGGTTGGGAGAATTCGGGCGAAAGGCATGCATATGTAAGATGGAAGCAAGGCACAGGATGAAAACTTAATGAGTCTGTCATGGAGGATGTTTAGAGATGGCTCAGCAGTCAAGAGCACTGACTGCTCCTCCAGAGGACCTGGGTTCAGTTCCCAGCACCCTCATGGCAGCTCTGTCTGTAACTCCAAGAAAAATCTGACACCTCACACAGACATACATGTACGAAGCAGGTAGAACACCAATGCATATAAAATATTTTCTTTTAAGCTGTTAAAAAAGAACTAATTCTTAAAAGAGCAGGATGTTGTGGACCTCTTTAGTTCTCCAAGTTGTACGCAGGTGTAACTTTGATAAGTATGAGAACTAAAATCAAAGTTTCACTGACTGACTTTTTAAAATAAGACCTCCTTGTTTTGGAGGGTTTCAAGGAAGCTGTCACTCAGAGTATTTGAAGTCTGCCCGGGACACACTGGCCCTTCTGCAGCCACTAGGAGCCCCGGAATGGAAGGTCAGGATGCTCTCAGGTGAGGGCTGGTCTCCTGCGTGCATGCACCTGGGAAAGCAAGGGAGCCGTGGGCAATTAGTTCCCTGGACCATGATGACAGGAGGAGGTAGGAAAGTGTGGAGCGATGCTAGCCGGCCTTCCGCTGGCGAGGAGGCGTGGATTGAAAAGTTCATCTGGACCAGTTAGAACTCCAGCTTCCATACTTCCAGCTCCCATGGCTCCAGACCCGTGTTTCTCCACCTTCCTAATGCCGCAACGCTTTAATACAGTTCCTCATGGTGTGGTGACCCCCAACCATAAAATTATTTTATTATTTTGTTGCTACTTCATAACTGCAATTTTGCTAGTTTTATCAACTGAAATGTAAATACCAGACGTGAAAAATATGTGATATGTGATCATCAGTGGGGTTGGAACCCACAGGTTGAGAACCCCTGCATTAGACAGTGTCTTTAACCTTCAGAGCCTCATTTTCTATGTTGACCAAAGAGAAAATACCATCACCATCCAGGACAGTTGTTAGAATTGATTCAGGAACCTTGATGAAGCTGCTCCTACTAATTCTGTGGCAGACACCGAGGAAAAGCCACTCCTCAGACACACTATCAGCAGGGCCCACCAGGTCCACGGGGCTACCTGTTTCTTCAAGGTGTTGGGAAAAAAAACCCAAAAACTAATAGTCTATTTACATCTACAGAATGACTCCATGTCAGAAAGAATTGAGGAAAGAAACATATTAGACAGTTCCTTTTTTTTTTTTAAGACAGGGGTCTTGCTATCCGGCCCAGACTGATCTTTAACTCCTAGACTCTATCAGCTTCCTGAGGAGGTGAGACTACAGGAATGGCATCCCTCTGGGCCCGGATGGGTTTTCACCTGGGAAGCTGACTGCGTGTTTAAAATGTAAAGCACGTGGGCCATACGACATGTCACATGCTTGCACTTTCCCCCAAAAGACACCAACTAAACACCAAATAAATAAATTGATTAATTAACCTAAAGCTGGGTGATAAATAAATAAATAAGTAAAACCTAAAGCCACACCTAGGCTTATACACTCTCAGGGTTGATGATTCATTCCTTTCTGGTATTGTGCCATTCTCTAGATTTGAAACCTTGGGAACTAGAGAGACCACTGCCCTGTCTCAAAAATAATAATAATAAAAATAAATTTCCAGATCCCCATTGCATGTCGTGTCCCCTTCCTTCCTCCCCTTCTGCGTTTTCTCCTCCTTTCTTCCCTCCCTCCCTGTGCTGTTCACTCCCACACATTGGGAACCTCCTTAGCAGAGAACGCTGCTCTCCAGCTCCGTTCCACTTCTCTTCTTGGTGTGTGTACATGGCCCACATAAGTGTCTGTCTCTAAGACTGGAGGCTGTTTTTTTTGTTTTGTTTTGTTTTGTTTTTTTAAAGATTAAATGTTTCTAAAACAAACAAAAATTGGACTTGAACTTAGAAAAAAAAAATAATCCTAGGCAGGCCTCCCAGACTTTCAGGGGGCAGCAGTGGGTTCCCCAGAGGGAAGGTTTGTAAAAATCAATATAAATGATATTTGCTTATAATATTTTGGAGAGGAAGCATGGGTGTCGGAGAGCAGGAGGAGAAGGGGAGTCTGTCCGGACAAGAGTGGTTTGACCCAGAATCTGCCCCTGAGGAGGAGATCGCTTTGTATGTGTTGAACCAGAAGGCTGATGGAGAGAACAGGGAACATGAGGGTCAAGGTCAGCCTTGCCAGGCAAGGCCGAAGAAAGGCAAGGCTGGCCCTGCCACCAGACCTTTGTGCGGCATTGCTGAGTTAGGTGAGGTTAACTGGTCATTTTCATTACACATTTAGATAATGTATACAGCCATGCTGAGTGAAACCACCAGCTTCATCGCTAATCTTTTAACATTAGTTAAAACCGAGTATTAGGTAGCTGCGTCAATAAAATGCCTATGGGGGACCTGCACACACTCAGAACCCACATAAAACTCCGGGGGTATAGGTAAATGTGTTACCCACCTTAGCCAAATGAGTGAATGATAGATCCAGGCGAGGCACCCTGCCTCAGAAAATACAGTGGAGACAGCAGTAGACAAAGACACCTGTTGATGGCCGCTGCGAGGCTCGTGTGACACAAACTCCTTCTCTCACACACGTGCACCACAGTGAATTAGTAAAACCTCAGTCATTGTTTGTGCCCTCGGTATGTGCTAGCCACTGGCTAAATACTTTACATGCAAAATGTATTTAATTCTCAAAGCAATTCTATGGAGTAGTCTACTGTGAGAGCCCTTGAGTTGGATGGAGGCAAGGAAAAAAATACATACCAGTCTTAAACAAGCAGAAATTTGTCTGGGTGAAATTAGAGCCTGAGGAATTCAGGTTTGGCTGAGTGGAGAGCGAGATCACTTTCATGAAGTACTGATTTGTGGGCTTTTGCCAGAAATTTCAAAGCCACCCAAACAGGTAGACAGACCTGGGCCATAAGAGAAACACTGTCTGTAAATCAAGTCTTTTTTTTTTTTTTTTAATTTGAGCCAGTGTTTCTCCGTGTAGCTTTGACTGTCCTGAACTCAATTTGTAGACCAGGTTGGCCTCAAACTCAAAGAGCTCCCTGCCTCTGCTTCACAGAATGCTGGGATTACAGGTGTGGGCCACCATGCCCAGCATAAATCGAGTCTTCTTTGTGCTCTTTTGAAGCCAAAGGCCAGGAGGAGGCTCCCTCCAGGTGTCTTAGAGGGAGCTTTTGAAGTCGCCCAGGGGAGATGTATGATAAGAGTTTTCCTGGAAGAAGTCAAATTATCACTATTTGCAGATGATAAGATAGTATACGTGAGCGACCCCAAAAACTCTACCAGGGAACTCCTACAGCTGATAAACACCTTCAGCAAAGTGGCCGGATACAAAATTAACTCAAAAAAATCGGTAGCCCTCCTGTATACAAAAGACAAAAGGGCTGAGAAAGAAATTAGGGAAACAACACCCTTCACAATAGCCACAAATGACATAAAGTACCTTGGAGTAACCCTAACCAAGGAAGTCAAAGACTTGTATGAAAAAAATTTCAAGTCTCTGAAGAAAGAATTAGAAGAAGATATGAGAAGATGGAAAGATCTCCCATGCTCATGGCTTGGCAGGATTAACATAGTAAAAATGGCCATCTTACCAAAAGCAATCTACACATTCAATGCAATTCCCATCAAATTACCAACACAATTCTTTACAGACCTGGAAAGAAAAATTCTCAACTTCATATAGAATAACAAGAAACCCAGAATTGCTAAAACAATCCTCTACAATAAAAGATCTTCTGGAGGTATCTCCATCCCTGATCTTAAGGTGTACTATCGAGCAACAGTTTTAAAAACTGCATGGTACTGGCATAGAAACAGAATGGTGGATCAATGGAATGGAACAGAGGACCCAGAAATAAACCCACACACATATGGACACCTGATCTTTGACAAAGATGCCAAAACCATACAATGGAAAAAAGATAGCATCTTCAACAAATGGTGCTGGTCCAACTGGATGTCTACATGTAGAAAAATGAAAATAGATCCGTACTTATCACCCTGCACAAAACTGAAGTCCAAGTGGATCAAAGACCTCAACATAAAACCAGACACATTAAATTGGCTAGAAAAAAAAAGTGGGGAATACCCTAGAACTCATTGGTACAGGAGAAAACTTCCTGAACAGAACACCAACAGCACAGGCTCTAAGAGCAACAATCAATAAATGGGACCTCATGAAACTGAAAAGCTTCTGTAAAGCAAAGAACACCGTCATCAAAACAAAGCAACTGCCTACAGATTGGGAAAGAATCTTCACCAACCCTTTATCTGACAGAGGACTCATATCCAGTATATATAAAGAACTAAAGAAGCTGAAAAGCAGCAAACCAAGTAATCCACTTAAAAAATGGGGAACAGAGCTAAACAGAAAATTCTCAATAGAGCAATATTGAATGGCAGAGAAGCACTTAAAGAAATTCTCAACCTCATTAGCCATTAGGGAAATGCAAATCAAAACAACCCTGAGATTTCACCTTACACCCATCAGAATGGCCAAGATGAAAAACTCAAGTGACAACACATGCTGGAGAGGTTGTGGAGAAAGGGGAACCCTTCTCCACTGCTGGTGGGAATGTAAACTTGTACAACCACTCTGGAAATCAATCTGGCGCTTTCTCAGACAACTAGGAATAGCGCTTCCTCAAGATCCAGCCATACCACTCCTAGGCATATATCCAAAAGAGGCTCAAGTACACAAAAAGGACATTTGTTCAACCATGTTTGTAGCAGCTTTATTTGTAATAGCCAGAAGCTGGAAACAACCCAGATGCCCCTCAACTGAAGAATGGATGCAGAAACTGTGGTACATCTATACAATGGAATATTACTCTGCAATGAAAAATAAGGAAATCATGAAATTTGCAGGTAAATGGTGGGACCTGGAAAGGATCATCCTGAGTGAGTTGTCCCAGAAGCAAAAAGACACACATGGTATATACTCACTCATATAGGCATACAACATAAGACAAACCCACTAAAATCTATGCATCTAAAGAAACCAAGCAAGAGAGAGGACCCTAACTAAAATGTTCAATCCCCACCTGAAGGGCAAAGAGGATGGACATCAGAAGAAGAAGAAAACAGGAAACAACCTAGAAACCTGCTACAGAGGGCCTCTGAAAGCCAGAAGAAGAAAACAGGAAACAAACTAGGAACCTACCACAGAGCATCTGAAAGCCTCTGCCTTGCAGACTATCAAAGCAGATGCTGAGCCTGATGGCCAACTGTCGGGCAGAGTGAATGGAATTTTATGTAAGAAGTGGGAAATAGTAAGAGCTGGAGAGGACAGGAACTCCACAAGGAGAGCAACAGAACAAGAAAATTTGAACACAGGGAACTTCCCAGAGACTCATACTCCAACCAAGGACTATTCATGGAGATAACCTAGAACCCCTGCACAGATGTAGCCCACAGCAGGTCAGTGTCCAAGTGGGTTACCTAGTAATGGGAAGAGGGACTGCCTCTGACATAATCTGATTGGCCTGCTCTTTGATCACCTCCCCCTGAGGGGGGAGCAGCCCTACCAGGCCACAGAAGAGGACAGTGCAGCCACTTTTGACGAGAACTGATAGACTAAGATCAGAAAGGAGAGGAGAACCTCCCCTATCAGTGGACTTGGGGAGGGGCATGCATGTAGAAACGGGAGGGAGGGTGGGAGGAGGGAAAGGCTTAAGGGGGGATACAAAATGAATAAAGTGTAATTAATAAAAAATTTAAAAAAAAAAAGAAAAAAAAGAGTTTTCCCAGCCTGGAAGAGATGCTGAGCCCTGCAGGGAGCCTAAGCCCTTTGGAATGTCAGATCCTCTAAACCAGGGACTCTGGTAGAGAAGGAAAGAGAAGTCTGGCTGGACTCAGGGACCTGTGGGGGAGCAGACAAGAGAGTTCCCTCGAAGACTGGTACTGACTTTCCTGCAGTTGGAAGGAGGATCTTGGAGGAGGAAATAAAGTGGCATTTACTGCACAAATAAAATGTTGCACTGAAAGTCACGCCCTCCAAAACACCTCCTGATTAAGTGAGCAGGGCAACTTTGAACTTCTAATGGCTGCCTGAGCTCAAAGGCTGTGAATGCCCACCAGTCTCCTCTTCTGCTACGAGGAGGAAAACGGTGCTCCACATTACCCAGTGGTCAAGGTTTCCCTCACGGGCCTCCTGCTGCCCTCTTTGGCTGATCTAGAAGATGGAGAAATGGATTTGAAAACAGGACTGTCAACTCCAGGAGCAGACCATAATTTCTTTGTTTGATCAATCATAGAAAGACTTCAACTTGTCTTAGTAGGATGCTGGCTTCTGTTTGTTTCTTTGCTTGCTTGTTTTTTTTTTTTTTTTTGTTTGTTTGTTGTTGTTGTTTTTCTGTCATAAAACATTATTCGAGGTAACTTATAAAATAAATAATTTATTTTGGGGGTTACAGCTGCAGAGCGATAGTAGTCCATGATGGCAGACTAGAGGTAGCAGCTGGAACAGCAGCTGAGAGCTCATATCTCAAACAAGTAGGAAACAGAAAGAGTGCACTGGAAATAGCATGAGGCTTTTGAAACTTGAAACCCTGCCC